CAATAAAACACAATAAGTATCACTACAAAACAGTGAGTGTGGAATTGTGAGGGCAAAGTGTATTAGGACCCAGGATACCGAAGTTGAACCTTCATGGGTGTTTATGCATCTGTATAAATATTTGTGTATTGCGGCAAGTGTGTATTCTATTCTTAACTCCTCCTGTTCTCTGTGTGAGTCACTGTTCTACATCACATACCAACTGCTTTGCAACTCATTGTAAAAAGTTTCTTTGTTTCACTCTAAGTTTCAGGTTCTTGTCTTCTCCCTTTTTATTATACTTTGCAGTGGTATAATGAAGCATCACCCTGAGATAAACTCTACAATACATAACTGTATCCTTAACACAGTTTTTTTGTAGTTAGGCCTACACACCCTATTGTCACTTCTGAGACCTTCCTTGATTTGGCTCTGGATACTAACATTTTAAAATGGAGATATGCTAAACTTTCCTAGTCATTACAATCCATAAATTAAGAAGTAAAATGTGCAAAAATTACTCAACATCTTTAAAGATATACCATAGGGAAAAAATAATAATAATAATAATGAAAATTTTATAGATTGTATTCACCAACTTTTCATATTTTTTTTTCGACCTTATGATTATTCCCTTTAAACAAAAACACAATGGAGTTTCTACTTATATCCTTTATCTACAGTAATATATTCCTGAATAAAATTGAAAGCTCTGCAACTGATTTTTAATAAGCTAATTATTTGCAATCAAATCATAATTTGTGATAGTCTAAATATAAATATACATACATGCTCTCTGAATATATATCCAAGATTTCACATGGATGATAACAATAAACAGTTTTTCCATGGCTTCACAAAATGAAAGAATTGTCAGTATCAAAATATTTTTTTTTTATTTACACAGTTTTGCATTCTCTACATTAATCCACACTGATTCCTGTGTTTTCTTTTTTGGATGAAATGGAAAGGAAAATACAACTTTTCCCTCTGGCAAAGCTAAAAATAATTTCATACATGATTCTTAGTTACTGATTTGCTTCACTTTCCTAAATAATATCAAGTAAGGACACAGATATAAATTATGGTGAGCCTTTGTCTTTGTAAATTAAATCCCTAAAATATGTCAAAGGAAGGGTGGGGACGGGAGGCCAGATGGGCACTGCACCATTCAATCCTCTAAGACATTCTTATAACAATTCAAAGATTTACATGCATTTTAATTCACAAAAATATCATATTCTTCCATTGAACAGGAAAAGAGTTCATACATCTTCATGAATATTTATACATTTCTCAATATATGCAAAAAAAATCATGAATGTTAAAAAAAAAGAATGTGAATCTCAGCATAAAAGCATCTTTACATTTTATGATTTTTCCAAGACATTCATATGAAAGATTTATAACTAGCAACAAATTTAACAATTACAGATATCCACAAATGAACTTTACCATTATTAAGCAAAAAAGTTTATATGCTAATCACAGAAAGGTCAATGTGGAAATATAGTGACACTTCCTGCAGCTATTTAAAGAAAAGGTTAATCAGCTGGAGAAGCACAGAGTGCCGCCACGCACATTGTCACCCAATAATGCAGGAATTTACTTCCTAACTATATATGGACTACTTGTAATGTGAAATATTAGATTTCTAATCATAACTAAAATAATAAATGCCTCTTCTGCTGTCAGCAGGAGTAAGATCTATAAAGGGTTAGTGTAATGCTTTGCGAAAATTTCTTATTATAAAGCTTTGCAGAAAATCTATGGGATAATGCAGATTGATCAGTTCTACCTTATCAAAATAAGAAGATAAAAATAGGCTATTTTATGTTATTAAAAATATTATGTTATTTGAGATTTCAAGTTCCATAACATCATATAGGGACAATAGCTTCTTAAAGAAAAGAGGTAACCAAAGTGACATAAATGTAGTCCGTGAAACTATGCATCAAAAGACATTAGACTAGACATTAGACTAGCATAAACACATCACAATACATACTAAACCACAATCTATAATACAAGGAATAAGATATACTTAGTAATATTATGAATATAACAACCAAATGAATATCTGACATGTTGGACAAAGTTTCATTCTGTAAAGTGTTAATGATTTTTAATGATAATCCTCTTACCCTGAGGAATACACAAGTACCAATTTGGATCCCATCCATAGTGACAGGGGCACCATTGAGGCATTCAAATGAGAGAAAAAAATGTATAGTAGAAGTCATTATTTCTGACTACTAACAATATAAAGTAGAAGTCATTATTTCTGACCACTAACAACTGAAGTAGCTAAAAGAAGTAAGATTTATGCTTACAGCTTGTCTGTCCCTATTCAGTTGTGCCTCTAATCTGTCCTTTTATTTCACTTGCTATGTCCTCCACTGATATGTCAAATTAATAACTTAATGGCCCTACTTTAGTTTCAATTGCATAGTGTTCTCTTAAGACTCCGGCAAGAGGTGATGGTTCTGCCATGACACCTAAGTTATAATTAAATATTTACATTACCAGTTACCTCATAATTAAAGTTTATAGAAGTTACATGCTATAAAAAAAATCATATCATGCAAGAGTGGAGCAAACTTTTTAGCAACAACAACAGACAAATTGTTTGAAATTTATTGTCTTAAAGTACTGCATTAGCATAACTTGGCTGCAGTTTCTGATGAATCCTTCTTGCAATATTACAGAATATATGGTTTTAATATCCCACTCAAGTGGCTTCAAAACAAATTTGAAATAGATGAGGCTCACCAATAGGATCTCAGGGGAGGAGGAGGGCCCTAAAGGAGGGTCCCTCACCCATCCCTGAAGGAAATTTAAAAAGGGGCGGCCCTGTATTGTACAGATTTTACATAAAAGGTTTATATATACATAAATATTAGATAAATGATCAGGATATCTTATACAGGCTCTATTGCCCTTTGGCAGTGTTCTTAACCTTTTTACTACCACGCCCCCTTCAGGAATGTGTCCTTCCCTCCACGCCTCCTTTGTATCTATGAACAAAATTCCCTTCCAGATTTTAAGGAAAGGTTTAAATATCTTTTTAGTCTTTGCACTGAGTATGAGTTATTATTTATTTGACCATGCTCTCATCAAGAGAATAACATGGATAATTAAGAGATTTGTTTATTTTCCCCTCAGGTTGAGAAAACAATCATGTAATCTTTCAGTTCCTAGATTATATACTCTTTCATTTCATAGATTACATAATCTTACAGTTCTTATATTGTCCTGTATACAAAAAGAATACTAAAAAAAACAAGATAAGCCACACGAGAAACAAAACATCAAAAATAAAAAAAAAAGCAAAAGCTAAGCCTTACAAGTCTCTACAATACACCTTGAGTGACTCAAGCCTTTGGCACTCTGGCAAATGAGCACTCTCTACTACCTATATTTTGGCAGGATTGAACTTGCAGACCACCCAGTAAATCTTTTAAGGAAGGACGCACTCCACACCACAAAATCTATTCAAATATCTAACCCCTCCCCACCATAAACTTTGTCTTCACTATCAGTATGCATGGCAAAATAGAGCTGAAAATGAAGAGCACAGAGTAGACTCAGTATATGTGGGGTGCTTTATACAATCTTTTTCTTTTATTAGTGTCATTACATTTGTGTCTGCTGTTTATTTCTAGTACCGACAACAAACTTTCAGTCCCCCTACAAGCATATAAGGTTCAATTTGCCATTGCTTAGTATGTCCAAACAGTAAATGTTAACTGGCCACCCTAATGACCTGCCGTCAAAAAAGAACCATCTTTACCAAATGATACTTAGTCGATGTTTGTTAATCTTTCTTACAGTACCAAAAGAGTAGAGGCCACAGCAATTGTGGCCATTTGGATCTGGCAAATGCAGTCCCAGTCAAAAAAATTATGAAGAAATACCTAATGATAAATAATTATCACATTAAATGTATACAAGACACTCAAACTGAGAGCAGCAAACCACAGGGGGTAAGTCCCCATACCCCCTCCTTTATTAGCACTTCATGCCAACTCACAAAAACGGACATTAAGAACTTTGGCTGTGTGAGGGAATTGTCGACATAGTCTCTTGATGATGATATGCAGTGGTTATTCTGATCATTTCCTAATAAATTTGATGCCAAAGTAGCCGTAACTGTGTTGTTTACGACTCTATTTCTTATGTTCTTGGTGCATTAACCAACTTTTAAAACCATCTGAATGGATTGTATGAAATGGAAAGGAAAAATAAAGTTACAAGCAAAAGTTGGATTCTAAAATGCATGGTGGGTATCCTTTGAAAATTTCCTGGTAAGACATAGGCCTTGCAACAGAATACAGGTGCCATTAAACCCCAAACTCAAAACACCTTATCATTACTCTGTATTCCTTCCCTCAAAATTATCTTAGTAATATCCTACTAATCCTACCTTCATAACAAAAAAGAAATTTGTGAAACCAAACCCAAATTTTCTCTTCGAATTACAGAACTTTCAAGAGAAATACGAGAACACTTTTTCGACTCACCTTTCATCCCGACACCAAAGTGGAAGTAAAATCCGAAGAAGTCACCCGGAAGCACACTTTTGCTTTCCTTTTCCTCTCTCTCTTCCTTTATCTCTCTCTCTCCACTTCACTTAAGAAATAATATCCCTCGATCAGGTCACGCCCTTGGGTCAGTCACTCCCTTCCTTCCACAGTCCATCGCGATATCGGAAGAGAAATACAAGTTCACATCACACCACTTGGCCCCTTTTGGCCCGAGGAGAGGAACGTCTCTCTCTCTCCCCCTCCTCCACGCTTCTCCCCTAATTCCCCTTATCTTCCGGTCCTTCGCAGCAGGCACAGGGGTTGCACGAGGTCAGAAATGGGGTCATAGAGCGGGCAACTTTCATCGCGCGGCCGCCATGTTTGTTATGGTCCGAGGACGCTGTCTGCTCGGCCGCCGGGGTTGCCGAGCTGCAGGGGCGCCGCTCCAGCTCCTTTCGCTCTTTTCGGATTTGTTTCAGACACCTCGACACCACC